ACACAAAGGCTGCTGCTCCTCATTCCCTTGCTTCACTTTTCAAGGAGAGGACAAGACATGGTCGAAATAAAGCATAAGTTGTCTGGGTTTTTTTTTTCTTGAATACATTTGTTGGTGTGCAATAGTTTGGTGGCGTAATGTAGCAGGTGAATGTTAGCAGTGCTAGCTCAGACTGGCAGTTTGTCATGTGAAGGCAGTGGAGGATTGTGGGTAGGATTRATGTTTGTTGTTGTTAAATCATTTTGGGGAATTGGTTAGCAATTAGTTTGTTGTGTTTCTTTAATTTGTGTGTTCATGATTTGTTAACTTGTGTTAAACCGTTCAGCAGAAGTAACCATGAGTGAGAGTGGTAGGCCAAGTCATTAATAAGACGTATGAGTTTCACTTTGTGTTGTTCATGAGGAAGAATCCAATAAAGGTTCTTCAWAACTGCCACCTGGTGGTGAAGTCTTGAACTACAACAYGAGCTGCACCTCTCTCTGTAGCTGTGAGGTGTCATGCTACAATATTGTGCTTGACGCATGTATACTATTAAAAAGAACTTGTAAGTTTTTCTTGAAAAAACCCTCATAACAATTTGCACTGACGTTTGTTAAGTAAATTTATATGCTACAAATTCAAGTAATATTTACTCATCATCATCTAGGAAAAGTTACTAAGAATACCGTTAAAGTTTGTAAAATTTACCTGATTTATTCACAAATTTTTAACTATATTCTTAGTAACTTTTACTAGACAATGAGTAAATATCACTTGAATTTGTAGCATTTAAATTTTCTTAACAAATGTTAGTGCAAATTGTTACGAGGATTTTTTCAAGTAAATCTTACAAGTTATTTTTTTCAGTGTAGTCATGTATTTAAACATAGCACAAAAGCTGTAGTGGGAACAGCTAACTAAAATGTTAACTCTCTAACTCATAATCCGCTAACTAAAAATGCAGCTTTACTAACACTAAACTGCTGAACGTGAAAAAAGGGAGCAGAAGCTAAAGCTAAACAAGCACAAAAAAAAAATAGCGAAAGCTATATTGACAGCTAATCCCTAATCGACAACAGTCACTCTGAGACTGAGATTGGTGTTGATGTCAGTTTTTTAGTTAGCTGTTAACGGACATGAAGGTTGGCAAAACCTGATTTAGCTAAAGCTAATTGGTCTGCTAATCTTTTTCAAAATTAGGAAAAAAGCTAATTCACTTAACAAAAAATTGGTTCTGCTAGCTGTTGGCTGATTAGCAGAACCGTTCCCCCCACTGTACAAAAGTGTAGAAATGCTTGTTTGGTTGATCATGTCTTTGTTTTATCAATGCAATCAAAGCATTAAAGAACTGAAACTATTGTAAAGCCTACTCATTTCCCTAAAATGCCAGTCAGTGGCTCTTGGAATTGACTTAACTTTTCCAGCTAATTATACAGTGGGTGACAGGTGCAAATAGCTAAATGTGAATGATGCAAACTCAAAAAACGCACAAACAAACCGGGAAACAAACACACAAAAACTAAACGCAACGGGAAAATGCTGCAAAGGCATGCATGCA